TAAATCTCATATAAATCAATTCATAATTATATATTTTTTTATATTATTTTATTGATTATTTAAACATGGAACATAGGCTTGGACAATTTTGAACATTCTTGGATGTTGGACATTTTACATAGTGTAGACATGTCCTATGTACAACACTGCATAAGGCTATGCATTGAATAATATAAGCCACCCAAATATCTAGTAGCTTCCTTAAATGTACCAAGAATGTGTAAAAGGTCTCTTAATAAACTTCACTTTTCTTCTGTTAGATTAATTTAATATAACTGTTTTCTATCTTTATATTTATCAAAGTTTTCATATGTTGTAAGATGAACAATAAAATGCTCGATGTAAACTTTAATTTGTATTAAATGAGTCTATGCCAAATAAGAGCTATTCCACTGAGTATTACAATCAGCTATACAACTGATTAAATAATCAGATATTTCTTTAGCATCCTTAAATATAAAATAATATATTAAAATTGTATATTATATAAATAATATATATATATTACTTTATTTAAAAACTTACTATAGTTGTTTTTTTCAGATTTCTTTTTTGAATTTCCTCTAAACATTCTGATTGCTTTGGATATTAAAAAAAGTCTATTAAACGTTTTGCACAGCTTATTAATATTTTTACAGATAATAAAGCCTTTCTAAACACTAATTGTAAAGTGTGTATACAACATCCTTACCACAAAACACTATCTATTTTCACTACAGACTTTTTTATATTTAGAACATTGTCAGTAGTGATTGAATATACTTTGCCTATCAAGCGCCAATATTAAATAAAGTTTTTAACAGTTTCATAAATATTATTACCAGTATGGAAATATCGCATATGTTGTATAGTAAGAGTTACTTTATTTAAATGAAATTGTTAATCTATATATAAAAAAGTTATTCTAAGAAATCCTCAAGATACTTTAATGGCATTTTTATTAAGATGATCACATAGTAATAGTACACAGTAATTATAAGCACAATAAATAATTTGTTTGATTAGCTTAACATAGGAATAATAAAAGCTAGATCTAATTTATTTATAAATCATCAAAATAAAGGATATAAAACAATAATTAGAGGTCATGAATCAGAAATAAGCCAATCAACAAGCATATTTTGTAATTCTCATTGTCTTTTTTTACTATGTGATCAAGTAGGAAGTATTAATTGTGATGGTTATTATTCAATACATAGCTTTATATATCATGTTATTGAAAAATTGAAAGAAATTTTTGAGCCACCAATTATTGATATAAATAGATTAAGTATTGAGGATGAAGAGGATGCATTTAATAAAGATCAAGATGAAACTAAATTAAATAATTCTATTAATACCATGGGCTTATTAAATGAAGTCAAAAAAAAGATGTATATAGCTCTTTGTTATTATTATCTTGGTCTAGCACCTCAAGAGTTATTATCTGCCTTATTGGATTCTTGACTCAAATCTTTAGATTTTGTTAGTAGTACAAATAAATTAGCTGCTAAACATATTTTTAAAAACTTACACAGGTCAAAATAAGGCAAATCGGGTTCAAATCGGCATTACAATATCCTGATATGAAC